GGAACAAACCAAGAGGAAGAGATAACAATCTTAAGTATATGTGCACTAAATACCAGCATAACCAATTATATAAAACAAATATTAACACGTATGAAAAATCAAATAAGCAATATTACAATTATAATGGGGGCCTCAATACACTACTCTCACAAATAGACAAACTAGCTAGATAAAGATGTTTCCACTGTGCCACGCCATAAGATCAGAATACTCATTCTTCTCAGCTGCACACAGGACATTCTTCAAAATAGACTACATAATAGCTCATAGAAAACACTTAAGTAAATGCAAAGAAATTAGAATTATCCAATGCTTATTGTCAGACCATAGTGCAACAAAATTGTAAATAAAGGGCGAAAGAAATTAGAAACCTCCATGAAGATATGGAAATTAAATAACACCCTACTGAATAACCAATGGGTCACAGATTCAATTAAAGGAGAAATTAAATAGGTCATACAATTAATAATGCCAATACAACATACCAGCACTCATGGAATGCAACAAAGCACTCCTATGAGGGACAGTTATAGTGGTGAATTCCAAGGAGGAAAAAAACAACAAAAAACCGAGTGAATAAACAACCAAATGTTGCATCTGAAGCTTTTAGGAAAAGAAGAGGAAGTCAAGCCCAAAGCTCATATAAGGGAGGAAATTATAAAGATCAGAACAGGAGTTAATGTAATTGAAGCTAAGAAAACAATACAAAGAATCAATGAATTGAAGAGTTGGTTTCTCTCGAAGGCTAAGTAATACTGACAAACCCTTAGCCAAACTTTTCAAAACAATGAAAGAAAAGAATCAAATACATTCAGTTAGGAATCAAAAGGGTGAAGTCACAACAGATTCCATAGAAATCCAGAAAATCATTGATACTTATTTTGAGACCCTGTATTCTAATAAAATGTAAGATATAGATTACTACATGTGAATTACAAACACTGACTCAAGAAGTTTTAAAAGCTTTAAATAAAGCATTATCAGCCAATGGTATTGAACATGTAATTAAAATCCTGCTAACAAAGAAAAGTTCTAGCCCTCAAAGATTCATTGTGGAATTCTACAAGAGATGTAGAGAAGGCCTAATCCCACTCTTCTCAAACTCTTTAGTAAAATTGAAAGGGAATCAATACTCTCAAAGTCATTCCTAGAAGCAAGTAATACTCATACCAAAAGCAGAGAAGGATCCAACCAAAAAAGAGAACTATAGGCCAGTCTCCCTAATGAACACTGACATAAATGTCCTCAGTAAGATACTAGCAAACAGAATGTAGCAAATCATCAAGAAGAGAATATGACTAAGTAGGATTCATCCCAGGGATGCAAGGATGATTTAATATATGCCAATCAATAAATATAACACACTATATTAACAAAGCCAAGGACAAAACCTTATGATCATCTCAATAGATGTACAAAAAGCATTGGACAAAGTTCAATACCCATTCATCATAAAAACCCTACAGATAACTAGAATAGATGTTCTTTATCTCAATCTGATAAAAACCACACACAAAAATCAAACAGTCAATATAATGCTAAATGAACAGAAACTAAAAGCTTTTACTTGAAAATCAGGAACAAGACAAGAATGTCCACTATGGGCACTTTATTCAATATAGTTCACGAAACACTAGCCAGAAAAGAGAATGAAATAAAAAGAATAATGATAGGTAAGGAAGAAGTTAAATCACTACTATTATGGACTATTGGACTATATTGGGATATGTTGCTGAACTCATGCACCTACAGTATTTAAGTGACAATGGAATACCCTTCTCTGACAAAACTAACCAAAAATGGGGATACAAATTAATGACCATTTTGTATCTGTATACTCAAAATAGTTAGGATAGATTATACAGCTCCATTCTCTTAATTCAATGAATAGAGAGGTTTGTTCTAATAGTGTTTGAGACAGGATATCAGGTCTGCTCTTGTACAATGAATAACCACTAAGACAACAATAT